TGAGTGTGTCCTGTTGGATATCCTGAAAGTCTGTTTGGCCAGTGTTAATGCTGTTGACTGGGACTCGGCATGGTAGGGTTATTGGCTCAAGCTTTCTGTGCCATCAAATCAAATGTAGAGCCTCTGCCAGTGGTTTACATAAGGCCTTTCCCTGAGGCAGTTCTACTTTTGACATAATCAAATGTGGAATGTGGAATAGACCAGACATGATATTGTGGACTGAAGTTTGGCAGTATATGTTTTGCAATAAAAATCAGCTTCTGTTTATTTCTCTTGCCCAGACAGATGCTTTGTTGTACTCTGTATTTTTCATGAGGCATTTCTTGAATCCCATCTCTGTGGGAGAGGGGCACGTTAAGTATCGTCTTCAATGGAAATGACAGCAAAAGGATACCACACCTTATTTACACCTTACTTCATAAACCACAGTACTGCTTGTAGATGTTTAGCTTGCATATGCAGTATGTGACTTCACCCCATCTCATTGCATGGATCCAAACATCCTTATAGCTATTGCCCTTGGTTTCTGTCTGCTTTATGCCCTGTGACAATTTGAGCACTGTTGAAACATTGTTTTCCAGTGACCAGTGCATTGAAATCAATTAATAACCAAGTAGATGAATATTACTTTACCAATGCAATTAATAAGTTTTACTCTGGGAGACTTTGGCAACTTGTTTCTTGTTTTTATAAAGGGACTCCTTTGCTTGATCTGTGGGAGTTACTGTGATTTATGGACAACTCTCAGCAAGACACTTGACGGAATTTCCTGCAGACACGACTATGAGGTTCATGCCACAGTGTTTACAATGATGCATGACATTAGAGCACACTGTACCGTTCATTCTTTTTCTTTCGTCTCTTCTTTGGCTTCAATGCTACATCAGTCTATCTCTCCAATTCTATCACTTCCTCATTCTTACTTGCATTTTTCAGCCTCTGGCCATGCCTCTGCAGTTCAGATGCAAGGAGGAATGTGTGTGCCACTGGGGTCATTACATGGACACTAACATACCACAGGGGATTACTTTTTCAGCAGCTGAGTCTGGCTGGACCTCTTTTGGCCATGTTTGGCGAAAGGAAATGAGCACTGTGCGCTGTGGGGACATCTCTGAGCGCCTCAGTCCAACACAGACAGAGAGGTAGACAGAGAGGGAGGATAAAAATAGTGCTGAGACCCCAGGTCAGCTTTGAGCTGAGAGTAAGGAGTTGGGGGCTCAGGGGGGAGGGGAGAAAAACATGAAGTGAACAGAATGAAACGTGGAGAACTAAGTAGATGTAAAACACAAATCTGAAAGAAGTTAAGTGATCAAAACACTGCGCTGGTAAAGTCGAATTCCCTTATGAGTTGGTGGGGCCACTGGGTATAGGTGTGCAGTGGAAGGGGAAGAGGAAGAGGGAAAAAGTAGCAAAAATGATCTGATAGAGAGCTTAATCTTAGCAGTGAGTCCAGCCTCTCATTCATTTTCTCATATCTTTCTCTTCATATCGCAGCAGTGTGCATAACCACAAATCTCTTATATCTGCCCTGCTTGCAAAGAAGGAACGAACAAATGACCCATGAGCCACAAGATCTTCACATCACAGAGACACAGAGGGTAAGAAGTGTGGAGTCAAGGGACAAAACATTAGGATGAGATATTGTTTCAGTTTGTGAAAGAGGTTCATTGTGTTACAAGGTTTGAAGTAGGAGGGGAAGAAATGTGCTGTCGTTTGACACGTGGATCAGAATAATGAATTTTAAGTAGCAATGATGGCACAGCATCAACAGAAAATATGGAGAGATAGGATGGTGAAATGAACAAGGAGTATGAGAAATGGGAATTGGTTCTGGAGCCAAAAAATATATTCTCACATATGCATTTTTCTCTTTCTTATTGTACAACAATTCACAAAAAAGCATTAGTTTTGCGTCAAAACCAAGCTGCATGGGAATACAAGGAAGAATATCTTTCAAATCCTCTTTAGAAAGTGCAGTAAAGGAGAAGTGTGTACACTGTGTTAAAGTATTTCCTGTGTATTGCCATGCTCAAATGATTTATGGTTTAGCCTTGTGTAGTTGGAATGCCTGGATAAGTGAAAGTGAGACCTTTTCCAGCACATCTTGCATCTGCTTCAGTTATGTTCATCTTGAAATGGTAGAATGTAGCATGTTTGGAGGTATTACAGGGGTGCTGGTAGTCCAAAACAAACCAGCCCTGTTGTTACTGGCTCAAGCTTACAGTATAATGTGTGTGCATGTGCTTGTGTATGTGTGCATACCTGTGTTTTATGTACTGTGTGTACACCTTTTTCTTTGTATACTCTGAGAAAAATGGCTGCTTATTTGTCTTGAAGCTGCAATGGGTAGCTGGCTGTGGTAATAATGCATAGATTTAATTTCTCATTCTTAATAACTTAAACATGTTGATGTTGCAGATTATGACATTGTTTTTCTTCTCTTTGGCTCACCCCCCTCCCCTTTCACTTCCC